CTTTAAAGTGATTGAACCAGCAAATTTTCTGTTATGTGTGTTTTACTACAAAAAAAAAAAAAAAAAAAAAAAAAAAAAAAGATGTAAGGAAGTGGCCATTCTCAGGAGCTGACCTTCATTTACATCCACTGGGTGAGCACCTCTTTTTATCTTGTGTCCTGGGTACCTTGTTCACTTTACCCTAATCCCAGTCCTGGGGCCGAGGCCTGCCCCATGGAGAGGGAGGATTCTGTGTTTGCCTTGTGGCTTCTCCTGAACCCACCACTCCCCAGGAGAATCGTTTCTTTGGCCATTCATTGTCTTCCAGAGAGAACTGGAAATAAGAATTACTTGGGATCAGTCAAGAAATACTTGTTGGAAAAAAGAAAAGCTATGAAGATAGGAAATGGAGAGTGGGAGAAATGTGAAGAATCACCTGGCTCAATCTTTGTATTTTTTAAAAGAAACAGCTTCATTGCAATATAATTAGCATAAAATCCACTTCATCCATTTAAAGAGTACAATTCAATGTTTGTTGTATAGTCACAGATATGTGCAGCCATTGCCACAGTAAATTTTAGGATGTTTTCATCACCAAAAATCAATTGACCAAATGTATTTTGGTCTATATCTGGACTCATTTCTGTTCCATTGATCCATAGGTTTAATCTTATGCTATCACCACATCGTCTTGCTTATAGTAGCTTCATAGTAAGTATTGAAATAGAGTAATGTGAGTTCTCTAACTTCATCCTTCTTTTTCAGAATTGTTTTGGCCATTCTAGGTCCTTTGCATTTCCATACATAATTTAAAATCAGCTTGTCAATATCTACCAGAAGAAAAGCCTACTGGGATTTTGACTGAAATTGCAACAACTATAAATCAAAATTTCAATCAGGAAAGTACTAACATAATTCTTCAGAAGTGTTAATATTTTGTTAAAGTAGTGAGTCTTCTCATCCATGAACATGGTATATCTCTCCTTTTATTTAGATCTTTTTAAATTTCTGTTGGTAATGATTTTCTGTTTTCTGTGCACAAATCCTATTTCATGATATTTGTCCCTTAACTTTTCATATTTTTAATACTATTGTAAGTGGTATTGGTTTTTAATTTCAATGTTAAATTTTAAAATTACTATTATGTAGAAATACAATTGATTTTGCAAATTGGCCCTGTATCTTACGACCTTGCTAAATTCACATATTATTTCTATTAGCTTTGTAGTATATTTTTCTACGTAGATACTATGTTCTCTACAAACACAGTTTTACTTAATCCTTTCCAATCTGTTTTTCATTTATTTATGTATTTATTTATTTGCTTGTTTGTTGTATTGTACTATCTAGGACATCTATTACAATGCTGAATAGAAGTGGCAACAGTAGAGATCCTTGCATTGTTCCCAATCTCAGTGGGAAAGCAATCTTTCATTAATAAGTATGGTGTTCGCTGTAGGTCTTATTGTAGATGTTATTTGTCAGATTGTGGAAGTTCCCTTCTATTCCTAGTTTGCTGAAAATTTCTTTTGTAAAAATCATGAGTAAATTTTTATCAAATGCTTTTTCTGCATCTATTAAGGTGATCATATACTTTTTCTTTTTATATCTATTGACATGTTGAGTTACATTGATTTATTTTTGAATGTTGGACAAATCTTGCATTCCTGAGATAAATGCCACTTGGTCTTGATATATTATCCTTTTTGTATGTTACTAGATTTGAATTGCTAATGTTTTGTTAAAGATTTTTGTATCTGTATTCATTATGGATATA